GAGATCATAACATCAAGATCAATAGGCACCAGCATTTCAAAAAAAGAGAGGAAAGAGGAACACCTTCTGTGCCCAGTCCACTTTATTACCATTGAGGATTTCTCCCTAAAATCATTTATTGAACACCTGCCAAGTACTATGCTCAATGCTAGACAATGCACACACAATAGTGAATAAGCCAAACCCACAGACTCTGCCTTCCGGAAGCTAACAGTCAGTATTCTTGCAAAGAGCCCACACAGTGTCAGTTTCTATTCTACCACTTGCAATCCCACCTTGCCCTTATGTCCACTGCCTAAGAAAAGAATCATGCACAAAGAACAAGACAGGGACTGAACAGGTATATTTTTAATTCCAAGTCAGATAAAAACCATACCATCCCCAAAGGGTGTAAGCTTCAAAGGCAGTATGTGTGGCAGAAGATCAGTAGCCAGAAGTATACCCTAGATAGGCTGTGGGGGCCTAAAGGACAGTCTAAGGGTAAAAGCTGGGGCATGAGAATTATTAGCCAGGAGAATGACCCAGGTAGAGGGCTGAAGAGGAAGGGGGAAGGGAAAAGAAAGAATCTGATCCTCCACCAGCCATGGTGAGGACTGACTGTGTCCCCTCAAAATTCATATGCTGAAGCCCTAATCCCTAATACGATGGTATGGAAGTTGGGATTTAGGGGAAGTAATTATGTTTAGGATGAAGTCATGAAATTGGAGCCCTCATGATGCTATGGATTAGAAGGAGACACCTGAAAGCTTGGTTCCTCTCCCCGGCCCGCCTTCCTCTCTCTACCTTCTGAAAACACAGCAAGAAAGTGGCCACCTGCAAGACAGGAAAAGGGCTTGCCCTCACTGGGGAAATGAATCAGCTAGCACCTTGAACTCGTACTTCTCAGCTCCAGCTCTGTGAGAAACAAATGATTTGTTGTTTAAGACACCCAGATATTCAATTCAAGAGCACAGGTTGAAGCCCTTCTCTTTGAAAATACACACTTTTCATGCTCCCTCACAGGAGGCCTTTGCTGACTGTTACTTGGGCCATAGTTATGTATTTCTACTGGAGCATCCTGCTTCTCAGGCCTCTGAGTTCCTCTGCTCCACAGTGAAGCTGCTTCAGGTGCAGCCCCTTGCCCTCAGCCAGTCCAGATTCTTACTTGCCTAGTAGAATAGATCTTCAGGAGACACCAGTGTTTTTCCAAAAATCTTGGAAAGGGAAACCCAAAAATGACTCGGAGGCAAAAGTAGGAGAATTTTTCTCTTACAGAGTTGTGCCAAATGGACACTATTCAATGCTGTCAACTGGTCTGCAAGGCAATTTTTAAAAGGACTCTGCCTCATAGTTCAATCTGGCATGCACAGATTTATGGCTTAAAACAGAATTCTCCAACTGAATCACAACCCATTAGTAGGATGTGAAATCACATGAGTTCAGCCAATATTTTTCTAATAAAACAGAATACAATCAAACAGCATAGAATAGAAAATATTAGAGTCCACTGTTGATAATAAGAATATGTATTATATCATCAAATCATTCTGTTTTATACACACATACAAACATACACACATATACACACCTCACTATCTAAATTTACTTGGTTCTTATCTTGAGTCCTATATAATTATATTTTAGTTAAGCTGCAATATAGATGTATCTTTTAATTGTGAATTGTGTTGGGGAGGCAGGTACTAAAGTTCACCAGCCTAAAGAAACTATAGTAAGTGGAATGGAAATTTTCTTTAACTTTTTTTTTTTCGGTTATAGATAGACATAATATCTTTATTTTATTTATTTATTTTTATGTGGTGCTGAGGATGGAACCCAGTACCACACACATACTAGGCAAGTGCTCTATCACTGAGCTACAACCTCAGCCCCTGGAATGGGAATTTTAAAAATATATATAAAATAATTGAAAATCTTTTTATTTTGTCCTAATTATTCTTCATTTCTTTTTTGGATTTGTGCATCTGTAAGTACATCTGGCTTTGTTATAAATGTTCTCTCAAACTGCTGCAACAGAAGGTAGGAAACAAAAGGTAGGACATACCTGAAAACAGGATATGGGTTTAGATGCCCAAGGCCAAATCCCCACCACAGAGTTGGCCTAATCAATTCTTATCATTCCCTATGCCAAACCACTGGGCAGAATCTGAACCAGAGGCAAGCTCCTTTGTGCATTAGAAAAGCATTTAAAATGCCAATTTCTCAAATCACTGGGCAAAACACCAACTGCTGTCTAGGATATGGAGCCCTAACTGGGATCATGACCAATTCCATATTTTTGAGTAGAATTGAATTTGTTGGTGTATGATGATTTTTAGAAACTTTTTGACAAACTTTGCAAGTAATACAGAATTTCAAATGTGATTTTAGAGAAATTAGTCCACCTGACACTTCTAAATAATCCCCATACATCCATACCCCCATAGTGAAAGTTAACGCATCTGCCCTGCTCTAAATGGCTACATATGAATCAGTGCTACCAGCAGCTGCCTTCACAAGCACCATCCAGGGCTTTAGATGGGTCTAACCTTGGAAATTTGCTCTCCTGGTGTTTCTAGATATCCTCAGCATGTGTTGGCCCCCAATGGTCATAAATCCAATCCTCTTGAATTCAGTAGTCACTAATTTATAATAGATAATTGTAACAGAGGAACCAATAAATCATGAATTAACTTAATCTTGTAGAGTTTGTCTACACTCTGAAGCTTGCCACTCTTGAGTGGTACCACACAACTCCAGAGCACTGCTTTCTTAGCATGTTAATGACAACTGTGTACTAATGAATTGAATGTTTTGGCCTTAGAGTCACCTCTGGTGAGCAGATTTGACCCAAGATGTGAGAGTAAAGACTTGAAACCAATTAACTAAATTCAACTTGATCACTAGTGTGGGAAGGAAGAGGACTTTTATCATTTATCATATATCTACAGTGATAACTTTGGTTATAAATTATTAATAATTACATTCAGAATACTAGTTGCTGTAGGTTTCAGGTATATTTTGTTGAAAAAAAAATAAGTGGTATCATGAAGTTATATTTTTCAAAGTCTTAACCAAATAGTGTAAGCATGTAACTCACCAATGCTGCCATCTACAGAAAACTTACCTAAGCAATTACACATTACTACTGAAAAAAACAGAGAAGTTCACAAGTTTTAGCTTTATTTCCCCCTAAATATCTTAATTTTGTGATTTTTAAGAGCAAAATATAATATCAGTTTTTAAGAGCAAACTTGTTTGGACTTATCACCCAAAAATTATGCAACATAACACCAAACTTAATTTTTTTAAAATTCCTTAGGCATTCCCTGTGATGTCTACCATCCCATATGCATGTACAATAGACAGTTGTTGTTGGTTTTTTTCTCACTTTTCCATCCCTCAAATTAAAGGAAATTTCTCGAGTTTCCTGATGGCAAAACTTATTCTTAAAGACAAGCTATACTGATGGTAAATCAGAATGGATTAGAAGCATCTGGCAAAGTTGTTACTCTGAAGGCAGTTAGGTTTGCTGCTGGGACAGTCCCTGTAGCATCATCAGGCACTTCCTCAACTATGTGTCAGTTTCTAAAATACCAAGTAAACAATTTTAAGTAAACCATCCCCTTAATTAGAAGTGTACACTGCAGTACTACAGCACATCACACAATTGTATACACACAATTATGCAGCACATCACATCATGCACATTTGAACCTTGCAAACCTATTTCTGTTATTTCATATCAATCTACATGTAACAGATCTTCAGATGGACACTGAAAAACTTGACCAGAAATGGATGTTTTGTATACATTATCCAATGCTAGAGTATTTTGAGACATTTTTAAGCATAACAAACTCCTAAGTTTTCATTCAGAAGTTTTTCATTTTCACATATCACCCATTCTCAATGAGTCTTAATAATAATAGGAAATTGGAGACAGGTACAGCAGCGACAATTACACCTTCTGACCAACTACCAACTTTCAGAATTCTACTCTGGTCTCTAATGACATTTTAAAAACAGTTGTTAGCTAAAATATTTCCAGCAAAAAGAGAAAGGAAAATAAAATTGCAAAGAAGTTGCAATTTGTCAAGAGTTTAAATTACATCTTCAGATTCTGTAAAGTAAAGGGCCCTGCATCTAAACTGAGTATTGAAACAAGTCTCCTCACCTATGGACAACAGAAAAGAAAGAAGGGGGAAAAAAGGAGATGGAAAGAAAAAATTCAATGGATAAAAATATTAGAACACATGGAATCATTCACAAAGAAAATCTGCTACCTGTTTGGATCCCCAGGGAAAGGATGAGGGACTTTTATGCTTCCCTAGGGAGATGGGGTTTTACATACATAATTTAAATAAATCAGCAGAACTCTTCACTAATTACAGTGCCTGCACCCTATGTGCTGCTTCCTCTTTAAAACCACACTACTTCATTATTCTGCCTTTAACTCTCTTAAATGATTCATTTCCCCTTTCACTCCTGAGCACACTCTGTAGGGAAGCTAGTATTTAAGTTTAATTCCTAGTGATACTTGCTTTGGAGAGCTTGATAAGGCGAAAGAGGAGAAATCTAATTTAATAATTTTGTCATGATATGAGGGGCACCCTCCAATCCCCACTCCCCCAAATAACTAGAGAAACAGGACCCTCTAGCAAGCTATAGCCATGAGCAAAGACATTAATTGGAAAAGCAGGGCCCACGTGCGGTGAGAGCTGTCACCCAGGAGAAGTGGCAGCCGGCGGCGAGCAGGGAGCTTGGGAGAGTACCGCTGATGCCAGCCACTCCACCGGCCTAGGCACTCCGGGGAAGATCTGAGCCGCACCTGAGAAAAGCTTAGCTCCCTCCCAGTCACTAACTAGGCAACGAAAAATAGAAGGGCAGAGAGGCCAGTCCCCCATCCTCGGAAGCAGTCACTGTAAAGGGGACAACCCGGGTGCACGCTGCAGGCGTCCCCAGCCCTAGCCCGCGCCTCAGAGCTCCGCCTGGTCCAGGGAACCTGCCTCGCCCCGCCTTACCGTCCCAGCTCCGACTCCACCTCGAAGAAATTGCTCAGGGCATCCCTGTTGGAACCGTCGATCCAGTAATCCAAGACGACGCTCCCAGCCCCGGGGGCCACACTGGAGGTGACCGAAGAGCAGGACGAGGAGGAGCAGGAGGGCACCGTGACTTTGAGCATCTTCGCGGCGGGACTCCGGAAGCCGCCGCTGCTGCCGCCGCCGCTGCTGCCACCGCCGCTGCCGGAGCTTGCAGCCCCGCCGCCCGCCGCCTGAGGAAGCAGGATCGAGAGAGAGGTGGCGTCCTTCACACACACGCACACACCCACCGCCTTCGCCACCCGGCTCCGCCGCCGCCGCCGCCGCGCGCGGGCTGCGGCTCCCCTCCGGCGCGCTCCGGAGGAAGGGTGGGCGGAGAAGGGGGTGAGCCACTGCGAGCGGGTGTGGAGAGGGAACCCGGAGTCACCGCCAGCCGGAGAGACGAGGGGGAGGCACCGCAGAGCAGAGAGATTCCCTCCCCTTCGCTCCTTCCCTCCCCCCCCTCCCCTCCTCCCGCTCTCCGAGCCTTTCCAGCCCCCCTCCCTTTTCCCTTTCTCCCGCCCAGGCTGTGGCTGCCGCGGTGCCAGCTGAGGGCGGCTCCGGATGCTGGAGCTTGGAGAAGGCACCAGGACCAGGGAGCATCATCCCACACGCCCTCCCGCGGGAGCCGGCCGCCTGGAAGGAGACCGCGTGCAGTGGGCTGAGAGCTCCGGGAGTGGCGGGCACCCAGCGGATGGTGCGAAAGGAACCTGGTCATTGTTGGTGCAACTCATCCCTCCTCGAGCGTGTCTCCTAGCGAGTCCCTCCCACCCAGCACCAGCCAACCAGCCATCCCTCGTTCGTCCCTGTGTCAAAGCTTATATTGGTGGCAGAGGGTGTCCTGTGGTTTTCAGTCCTCCAGGGCTCCGGTGCTCGCATCCAGTGGAAGCTGGAGGAAAGGGAAAGGCCTAGGTCTAAGCTAACTTGACTCACCTTTGGGTGAAGTCTTCAGATGGAATAGATGTTGTTGTTGCTGCTGGTGGCACTGCTGCCTCTGACACTGCTGGAGCTCCTAAAGAGGCACATGCTTTGGCTGTGTCTAGTTGGATCTCAGCGTCTGAAGGCCAGCAACAGAAGTGGCTTAGAGAATTACAGGTCTGGAAGGGCCCCGGAGAACCCAAACTAGTCGAACCTTCTGCCTTAAGGCAGGACCTATCACCATTCACAGCAGTAAAGAATGCTACATTTAAAGTTTTCTTCTTCACAAGAGATGTATCCCATCAGAAACATTCTTATGTCTGTCCATCACCTGTCATGGCTGTTCTAAGAATTGGTTGAATATCTATCACTATATTGATGAAAAAAATGATAAATTCAATCAAGTAATGATAAGTGTGTGAACACTAGTTGATTGAAACTGGCAAATTAACACGGTAACTTTTCCTGACAGGTAATATCATGATGATGAACACATGCTCAATTTACAAATGTTCTTTAAAATGTCAAATATATGTAAGTTCATACAAATTCTGTTACATAGTGGATTATCTGGTGAGAGATTGAAAATACATGATGTTATTATCTGAAGAATAATTTACTAACCTTCATGTTAGAAAATCAACTTCATAAGCAAACCAAGATAATAAAGCTCTCTAAAGTAAATTCACTAAATAAATTTCCCTTGGCTTGGTGAAAGGATGGGCATAAAGTAGTTAGCTAAGCCATTTTTATTCACAACTCTTCCAGACAGGTCCAGAAGTGGCAGCACTGCATGTAAATGCTTGTGCATCATAAGCAGTTCTGTTCTCACATAGATCCAAAGCAAGCATGTTACATTGAGAGACATGATTAAGTCTCTTATCTCCTGCTGTTCTAGGGAATAATGGATGGAAAAATAGCCATTTCATGGCACATAGATGATTATAGAATTGATATTTACATTCAGTAAATATCATTTGACACCTACTCTTTTCATAAATGACTTGTAAAAGTGCTACTCACTCAGGTTTAAAAAGAAGATCCCACCTTATCTGCAGTTTCATTCTATGGTATCAATTACTCTTGGTCAACTGAGACCTCAAAATCTTCAATGGAAAGTTCCAGAGATAAACAATTCATAAATTTTAACTTCACACTTTTCCATATAATGTGATAATCTCTTAATGCCATTTCATTCTGTCTTGATCAGGATGTAAATCATCCCTTTGTCCAGTGTAGCCTCCCTGTATATACTACTGCCCATTAGTCACTTATAATGTCTGTATGGGGAAAAAATAGTATATATAGAATTGAGAACTATCTGTGGTTTTAGGCATCCATTGGATGCCTTGGACTCTGTGCCCTGCTTATAAGCAGGAAACTAGTATATTTTATTTAATCCCTACAACAAAACTTTTATTTTGGATGAATGTAAATTAATAAATATTATCTTAATACAGGATAGGGATTAAATAACATACAATTTACTCTTAACCAAACCACAATGAAAATGACCAGAAAATGACTAGAAGTATAAACTCAAAAAAAGAGAAGTAATGTTAAAATCTTGAACATATGGACAAATGGTGATTGACTTAGAAGACTGGAAAGACACGATGTAATGGAAAAATCCAGTTAGAAATATCTAATTCTTTACACAGAATCAAGAAATACTCTGAAGTTAGAATACAAGGTAGTTCTAAAGGTGGGGAGGACAGAGAACGAAACATTGGTTGAAACTTTTAACATGAAACTCCAGCCTAGATTCTCCCTCCTGACCATTCATAGTCCAAAACACTCCTACCAAACTCTTGGAAAATACAGTAGATTTAACGGAAGGTAGGATAAAATTTTTTAGGTTATTAGATATAAATAAAAACAGATTAAGTGAAACTCTGTAAAATAAGCAGTGAGACCCATGGGCTCTAGAGTGCTGGCAAATTGGCTTCTATCTATCCTGCCTCCATTCATACGGAAACTGGAGGATTCTTCACTAGGAAAATCGAATCACCCAAGATTAGAGAGGCCTATGGATACCAATAATTGGATATCCAATTAGGAAACCACCAGCACAATATCCTAATTTCTATAATCATCTTGGAGTAACACCCACCATTAAACAGGCTCAGCAACCCAATGTTTCTATAAGCTATTTAATGTCTGACACATGAATGGACAAAGTTCCTATCATATAATGGCAGAATAGCTGGTATGAATAAGTCTCCTGTATATAAAAATTATGCTTCCTGGATTAAATAGTAAATCAGTAATCTAAATGTACAGAATAACAACCAAAACCAGATAACTGAGAATAATGTAACCCAGGGAAGAAAACAACTCATCTGAGGAATCTTTATTCAGCTTTCCCCCCCGCCAGGGCACTCTGCAGGTGGCACAGGACAGCTATAACTCAAGCAGAAAACTTCAGTATTATTAGCTTGAGGAATCAGAAAGTAGAATTTGGGGCTGATGGAGATATTAAAAATTGAGAAGGGAATTCCAGAAAGAACAAACCATAGTGGGGAATCCAAAAATCCATAATGTAATCTATGCTTCAATCATAGGCTAATCTCAAAGTGTGTGGGAGACTCTAATGAAAGCAGAATAAAGAAATAAACAGTAACTGAAAGGTTAAAATAGCTAAGAAGAAATTTTAAGTGGTACCACTTTGAAGTATAAGTCCCATCAAGTTCAATGTAGTTTGAGGGGATAGAATTTTAAACCCTCTTTAAGAAAAAGGTAGCAGAATTCAGAATGTCTACAAAAAATCATTGACAATATCCAGTAAATAATAAAAATTGTTGGATATGTGATGTGACAGGAAAATGTAAATTTAAAAAAATCAATAAAAAACAAATTTCAAGATGATTCATAGACTGATATTCACATAAAATTATTTTAAAACAACTATTATACATATGTTCATTTGAAAAAATAATGACTGACATTTCCCCAAAAATTTTGGTAAATTACATCAGTTTTTAGATCCCCAAATTTTAACAGGCCAAACAATACAGGAAATAAAATCACACCTAGACTGAGACCCATGTAAGTCAAACACTTGAAAGTCAAGATTTAGAAAAATATTGTGAAAGCATCCTTATGGGGAGGGCGGGCTGGGGAGTAGGTATATTACTCATTTAGGAAAGTAATGATACAAATAACACATGGCTCCTTATAAAAAATAATGCAGGCCGAAAATCAAAGCAATGTCTCCAAAGTAATTTAACTTTGAAATTAATGAACTATTGAAAAAATTTCAGTAAAAATTCTTGAAAATTGAAATCAAACAGAAATATTTTTAGATAAACGAAATACAAAAGAATTCATAGCCAGGAGCTCTCACTATAAGATGTGCTAAGAAATTTTTTGAGACTGAAGTGAAATTAACCAGATGGAAATTCAGTTTACAGAAAAGGTGAAAAGTGGCAGGAGTAAAAAATATGTGTAAATATAAATGAATGTTTTTCTTGTTCTTTTAATGTATTTAGAGACAATACAATTTAAAATAAAAATTATAAAATTGAATTTTGTGAGTTAGAGTATATATGGTAGAAAATGACATGAAATACTATATATCACTTCCTCTACATAATATTAGGAAAAGGCTAAGCTAAAATGATAGAATAAAGATCAGTGGCTCTCAAGAGCTAAGGTGAGGTGGGAATCAACTGCATAGGGACTTAAGGGGACTTGCAAAATGATAGAGAGGTTTATGTCATAATTGTGGTGGTGGTGATTACATACTTTTATGCATCTGTCAAAACTCTCTAAATTATATGCTTAAAAATGAATTCTTATATGCAAACTGACCTCAATAAAGCCAATTTAAATAACAATAGAGGCATAGCCAATGCTCTAACTTTGGTAAAATTAAAAGCCTAAATACTTGAAAAAAGAAATTAAGTTGTTTTCATTTATCAAATTGATTGAGAGTCCTAAAATTGATCAGTGAATTTGGCAAGGTCACAGTATACAAAGTCAATATAAAACAATCAATTGTATTTCTACAAATAAACAGGAATAATAGAGAAACTCAATAAAAACATTCCATTAATTATATGATAAGAAGCTAATGTTCAATTTAATAGAAGCTATCCAAATCCTTTGCATCAAATATTGTGAGAATTTAAATTAGATCCAAATAAAATGAAAGGTATGCTATATTGATTGATTAAAGAATTCAATGTTGTTAACATGTCAGATCTGTCCCTAATTAATATATAGACTGATCTTAATAGGCTCTGTTTGCAGAAAATGAAATATTTATTCTAAAAAATGTAAAAACAAACAAACAAAAAGCTGAAGTATCCAAACAATACAGCAATAGAATGAAGTTGGAGATCTCTATTTTATTTCAAAATGTACTATTAAGGTACAGAAATGAAGACAGTATACTCCTCATGTAACAATAGAAAAAAATAAGTCTGTAGGGCAAAATAAAGAGTCCAGAAATAGAATCATATATGTGGCCAATTAGTTTGAAAGAAATATTAAGAAT